GTGATGGGTATTCGAACCCACGATCCTGAGATTGCGAGTCGAGCGCCCTAACCACCTGGCCATGCCGGGCTAGCAAAGTTAACGCTAGCTTGTGATCTGTAAAGCATGTCGAAGTTGATACGAACATTATTGGTTACACATTTTAAATAGAGTGTTGTTTACATTTCTGAAAAGAAACAGAAGCATTGCAAGCCCTGTAGTAGACACCACGAGCTCCGGTAACGTTGCCCCTTTCATTTATTTTATTTTTGCTTTACAGCAGGCCGAGCGAGGCCTCATAATTAGCTGGACTGTAAGATCTGCGAGTGCTAACTTCAGCGTCCCGTTACCGCAAAACAATAATAATAATAATGAATAGATAATATAGCGCTCGGGCACGTGGGGACCGTGGTGCTTTGTACAAGTTACGGTCTAATCCCACTATTCGGTCAAACAAGAGTAGCTCAAGAGTTGGCGGTGGGTATTGTCTTTCCTCTAGAACAGCTAGCCCTTGAGTAGCTTTGTCGAATATCTGTAAACAAACAAATCAATTTACAGCATACCAGAGAGTACAATTGAGAATACAGAGTAACATGCATTATTAATAACTTATCTTTTACAGAGTAACATGCGTTATTAATAACTTATCTTTTACAGAGTAACATGCGTTATTAATAACTTATCTTTTAGGAATATATATACGTTTAAAATAAAAAAATAAAGTATAGAACAATTAAAATGAGGAAATACCTTTGGTTAAAACACTGAAAATGAGTTTCTATGTTTTTTATCCGTGCTATTTTTAACTTATTTCGAAAGTTTATTTGCTGTCTTAATATGGAAGATGAGTCTGAAATATAATCCATTTGTTGATCATTTATTTATGCACAGATTTTTTTTGCATGTCCCACATTAAATTAAGGAACAGGTATTATCTTAGTTTTGCTGAAATTTTATGTTATACGCTAATTTCACTGTCTTTATTAAAAATTTCAATTTCAGTTCATAATATAAAGTTAATGGTTAACAGTCTTCATTGTTTACTGTGCTCGATATTTTATTTTCTAAGTACGAAATATCTTAATATTTCTTATGCCTTTAAGCTTTCTTTAAAATAAATAGCTACATTTAGAGCTGCAGGATAACGTGATAAATACAAATGTTTAAATGTCAGCATGAAATTTACTAATTTAATCAGTTTCCGAACAATGCATGTATTGAAATATAAATCTGACAGAATGAAATTTGTTTGGTTGGTAAACTTGTTATATCTTGAATTATACAATGAATTTAATCTGAATGGAGATTTTACTATTGGTTTTATTATACCCAGTGAAATAACATGGTACTTTTTATTTTGAAACAGCATGGTGACCGTGAAAAGCCTGCCTCAGTAGTATGTATTTCTGTCTACTGTTTTATCTTGGTACTGCATGACTCATGCACAACGTAGTTTTATATATTGTCAAACAGTAATATTGAAGATACCAGAATTTCCACAAGTACTGAATTCACTTAAAATACTTCTTTTTAAATAGATTTTTTGCTAACTTTATAAAACTGTTTTTGTTATTATATATTCTTACAAATAATACTGGCGGGTCCAGGGTTTTCGTAAGAAGAGTAATTTAGTGTGGTGGGAGATTAATGGGCACACTTTAAGTGACAAGATATTAAAGAAATCGGCTTCAGGGACAACCTTAGCTTTTAGAGGATGGGGATAGGAGGGCGTACCTTGGCTACCCCCTATGCTGGACCCGTCAGTGAGTGAAACTTCAATGTTTAATAAGCTAGGAGCATGTAATAATGCTGGAGGAATGTGTTATCACAACAAGTATCATAATTGTAATTTGTGGATGTTTTATATTAATCAGACATATTCGAGTATTTTAATTGCTAATAATAATGAGGCTAAAATTTGTTGATGTTATAAGTTTTAACTTTAAACAAGTTCATCGAAGGTTTTGATATATCATCAGGAGTTCTACGTTTTATGAGTGTAGTTCAAAGAATACCACCATTTGTAAGCATATCGAAAAAGACGAATACATATCATGAAAACTTGGTTCCAAACGTCTACGAAAGTTGAACAACAACTAAGCACTAGTGTTTGATGTACATAAACTACCTCTAACAATAGTCGTGCCGTTTCTGGGTTTTTAAGTTCAAAAAAGTTAACATTTTACAATATTCATATCTACAAATTTTGCTGAAAGTAATCTTTAAACTTCAGTTACATATTAAACGTGTTTTTTTTTCTTTATAAGGATAAGATTTGACTCGAACACTATACTATGGCAGATGTATGTTGTTTACAAAATTACATTTTTCTGTTGTAAACAGATTTATATTGGTTTCATTACAGTTGACCTGGCATTGCCAGGTGGTAAGGACATTCAACTCACAATCTAAGGCCCGCGGGTTCGAATCCTTTCTCCAAACATGCTCGCCCTTTAGAATGTGGGGTCTTTGTAATTTAACGACCAATCCTATTATTCGTTGGTAAAGAGTAGCACAAGAGTTGGCGGTGGGTGACGTTGACTAGCTGCTTTCCCTCTAACCTACCACTTCAAAATTAGGGACGGTTATACAGGTAGCACTCAAGTAGCTTTGCAAGAAATTCAAAGCAAACAAACAATGTACGGTGCGCCACCTAGTGACATGAATAAAAATCGTCGGAAACCGAAAGAAAGAAATCATTCCAATACTTTATTCCCTTTGTTCTCCTGAAGAAGAATAGTCAACTATTCGAAAGCGCTCGAGTTTTTGGGTCTTTTTTTTTTTAATTCATTGCACCTTTTGTGTCTGAGCCTGTGTGCTAACTTTTTGTTTTTTTATCAGAATTCCAAACTTACATACACTTCAACAACACGTGTAACGACATATCATGCCATAAAGACTCTAACATCCTCTGCTCTGCAGAAAACGCAAGAATATATCAAATACAGGAGATTTTATTAATTAGACGTTTGGAGCCAAGCCTTAATGATACACCTTCGTCTTTTATGAGTGAAGTGTTGTTTTAGAATTGAAATTTGGATTAAATCATTATTGAAGAGTTATATTCATAAAATAAAATCATTTAAAGCTATATTACTAACTGAGATTACGTGATAATGTCGTTGCTACTATATATGTACATACCAGACAAAAATAAACAAGCACGTAAATTATAGGGATTTTCAGGAACAAGGTTAGGTTATTTTCATAATTCCTCAGTGGCAAAATTGGGTTAAAATTTTAAGTCACTGTATTAAAATACCTTTTCTGTACAATGAGTAATAAGTCGAGCACTGCTAATTAGATCACTTTTGTGACTATTGATGTCAAAGAGAGTAACACTTAAACCTTTTTCATTGTGTAATTACCGGAATTTTTCTTATTTACATTTTCTCGACAGATGACAACACTTAGTGAATCAAATTTTGAGAGAACGCTTTCAAAAAGCAATACAGATTGGGGTTCCGAAACGCCACGCTTGTTTTTAGATATTTTATTTTATAAATATAATCATTTATATTAGTTAGACCATCTCTCAAGACCAAGGAAAAAGGTTGCTCAGCGCATTGGCTTTGAATGTTTATTGTCGCGGCTTACTAGGTTTTTTTCTCATATTAGTTCTAGAGCAGTTACAGAATTAGCTTAAAGTATAAAAGACGTTTTTATCTAGTTACTACAACATTTACAGAATACTAAGTATGATGAGGAGCAGAGAAAACAGATTACTTTTACAGTAAATGAAACATAACAGTTATAAAATGTCTGTGAAATATTAGGAATAGAGAAACAAGTTTTTTTAAGGGAGATAAATTCGTTTAGATTATGATTATAATTTCGTCCAGATTAGATTATAATTTTAGCAAAACATCACTATATTGAGAGATTCGAGAAGAAATTCATATGATTTAATCAAATTTTGAAAAATAATCTATTGTTTTCTTATTTCTTTCTTTACTCTGTTCAATATACTTTACATCTTAAACGTGTTTCGTTCTCAAGATCGAATCTCGAAAGTTGGAATGGAAACAAAAAGCTTCATCCAAAGTTGGTTCAATGGACAATGTTAAGCATAAACCGGGTGGTGGTCAGACAAAGGTCAAGTCAGAAAAGATGATTTTAAAGGACAAGGTTTCTTCTAAAGTAGGTTCACTACCTGCTTCAGAGAAAGCTAGTAGTCAAGGTTCAGAAACTAAGGTAAGAAATACTACTAGTTTAGTGTTTATTAATGGTGGGATATTGTAAAATAAAAACGTTTACTTTAGTGATTTTAGTTTCTCGTTATTGCAGAGTAGTTTTGTATTTCTAGTAAATTCTTGAATTTCCTTTGTTCAGGCATGATTTCAATTCCTATAGCAGAAAATGTTTCCTTGGTACGCACAGTCCATTAATCCTGAGCTCTAGCGTTCAAGAAAACTGTTCTTAAACGTAAATTGAAACCAAGTTTAGAAAAAAAAATACTCAGTGGTCTCTGAAGCTGTAAGTTTTTCATAAGCAAATATTTTTTTTGTAATTGTGATAGTAAATCCTTATACTGTTTAACGTGCCAAGAACTTAATATTATAACCAAAAATAATGTATTATCTTCCCTTTCTAGAGCCCTATTCATCCATCTTCCCCACAGTTCGATGAGCAATCACAACTTCCTCCAGTAGATGAACCTTATGATGAAGAGCCAACAGAAACAAATGAACAAGAAGATGAGGCAACAAGCCAGAAACCAGAAACTGCAGAAGAAGCTCTTGGGCTACAAGATGATGAATCTAAGCCCGAAGTGGTAGAAACAGCAACAGAACCAGAAGCGACGAAAGAATATAAAGATGAAGATGCTGCAACAGAAGACAAACCAGAAACAACAGTTTCAGCTGAACCAAAAACAGCAGGGGGAGTTACGCCAGAATCTACAGGAATAGGAGTAGACCACGAGAAAAGTGAAACGAAGGATGCTAAGGATGGCGATGTAGCTGAAAAACCCCCAGTGGAGTGCTGATGCCCATTGTGTGGTGTAAACAATACTGTGTTTGTCAAGCTAGTGTCTAGATAGTGAGATATAACTCTTGCAAATTAACTTCTCCTTACATGTTTCTAGCCAGGTCCAGATCTTTTTTTGTTGTTGTTGTTGTTTTGCTTTCAGGGTTAAAAATTTGACAGTCGTAAGTAAATGTAAATTTCAGCTTTTTATTATTCATATTGAGTCTTTTGAACCTTGTCTTGGCTAAGTAATAATATATATATATATCAGTTATTCATTGCTTGTAAAGTTGTATCCCTTATTACATCTATAGCAATGAAGAAAAAATAAATTAATAAAAACGTCGATGTCAGAATTTTATAGTTAGCAGTTTAATATTAAAACTGCTCATGACCTGTTAAAACATTATATTGTGTTGTCATACGTAGTTTGTACTTCCTTTTGAATGGTATTATAGAACAAATATTATATTGTGGTTTATGTATAACTCAGAAGATAAGCAAAATACTTAGAAAATATCCCTATAGACAAATCATACCAATCAGAAATGTTGTGTTTAATCTTTATCACTGTTTATATGTTAGATATTAGTAGGATGTAAGATCGTATCGCCATACCATCTTCTCTAATCATGAAATGCTTTTGATATATATATCTGCATGTCCTGCTACGTTGTGTAATGTATCCACTGATGTAGCATGTGTGGCTGAGGATTTTAGCAGGGTTAAATAAGTAGACATTAGCAATTTGAAGGCATTGGCTCATATGAAACTTTATCGAGACTTATTGTATTTGTTATATTGTTTGATTTGAAGCACGCGAGGATAGCAATGATAATTTAGTTCAAAATGGAAAAATATATCATTTATGTGATTTTAAAAACATTTGAAAATGTCATGATAAGAGTTTTACGTGATACTTTATAATTAATTACATCCTATATGATCCATCCAGAATAATGTCCCTCCCTGTGACAATTTGATTTGAAAGCCGATAATTTTCTTTTATATAATAATTATGACATTGAAAAGCGGGTATCTGTTGCTTTGTGAAGACTATAAGCTTTGTTTTGGTTATGTCTTTGCTCTTAGAACCGTCTTGAATTGCTGATTTTTCCAGAACAAGTGGTAGGGATACGGTAAAGAGACCATTAATATACGAGCTGAAAATATTTGTTTGCTCTTATGTTTTGGAAAACAATTTTATACAAAGCGTCAACAATAATTATGCGACCTCTCACCTGCTTCATAAACGTATATGTTCAATGTGATAAATCACGTAGGGGAAAAGTTTCGTTTAGTAAGATATTTAGTTTAACGATTGCCTAAGTGCGTCCCCCGGTGAGTCAGCTGTAAGTTACAATACTAAAATACGGGGGTGCGATTCCCCTCGGTAGACAGAGCGCAGTTAGCCCATCGTGTAGCTTTGCGCTAAGAATAAACAAAAACAACAGCCTTAAGTGCCGAATGTAGAAAAGAATTGTGAGACATTGATTTCTAGAGTGCCTATTTTGCTCTTGGAAAACAAAGCATGCGTTATATTAGTTTAGTAATACAGTATAAAATACGTGGAAGACATATCTTTCGTGAAGTTATTTTCATTAAGAAGATTATAAATCAGTGCCTGAGGAGGGTAAATTTAGAATGTGATACAAAAAATGTATTGTTATTTCAACAATTGTAAAAAACGCCAAATATAGTTACAATACAAACTAAAAAAAAAAATCCTTCTTTTTGAGCACATCTCGTATCTCCAAGAATTGAGAATACTTGAATATGTGCTAAGAAAATATAAAGGAAAGCGTTTTCCTAAAATGAAAGATGATCGAAATGATATCTGGGTTTAAAAAGAAGAAGTTCGTGAATACATCAGAGTCCTTTTTTTTAAATCTCAAGCTGAAAGTATTGAATATTTGGATAAAGAAGAAACATTTGATATATTTCTTTACGAAATCAATAAACACGTGTATTGGACAACTGATCAGATATGGTAAGACGTCGTTGGAACTTGTACTGAGAAAAAAAAACTATCAGATAAAAGCTGAAAGTTCTTTTTTTCCTCTCTTGTTGCTTAGGTAGTGTCAAACTTTGAAAGAAGGTTTTTCTTAGTTTGTAGAAATCTAAAAGCCCTCCTTCGAATGGAATGCAAGTTGGCAGAAAGTATGTATTTTATGTAAATGTTAGAACTGCTATACTTTAACTATGTGCTTATTAAATCTATTTGTGGTTTGGTGACTCTTACGGTAAGCATGATTTGTATGGTTGATGGTCTGGTTTGTTTTATATAATTAAATCGAATTTTTAACGTGAATCTCTAATAGGGATTAACAATTTTACTTCTTTGCATAGGAAAATTAATTTTCGATGTTTGCGCTAAACTTGTGTTGCAAATGCCTCCTGCATGAATGATACCATTCCTCATGTCTCTCTCGCACGAACGATGTTCATAGATTTTTCTATAAACTTCAAATTGAGTTTTTGAAACAAGATGTTTTATAAACAGTATATTTTAATGAAGGATTCAACATCTAATGCATTTAGATAGTTCAACATTCTGGAATTAAAATAGTTTTAACTGGTACAAAGTTTTAAAAGTTTCTATGCTAACAGTAATTCTGGCTTTTCGTTTTTTGATTTATATCAGTCCAATTAAGGACCTAGGAAGTGAACATGAACCAGTCCATTCGGCTTTGTTGAAGAAGTATTTAACTTCACCACAATTTGTTCAGAAATTAAACGTGGTTAATCCTCAAGTTTAATAACTAATGAATACAGAAACCAATTTCGCGGTATCTAGTTGTCTCCATTCTTTTAAACTTTCATTCTAGAACAAACTATCTAACGAATTATTTTGCTCTGATGGTGAATTAGAGAGCTCGTACTTTTTATAAGTCTAAAATAACATCTGTAAAATTTGATGTGTGATAGAGTCATAAGGTTTAAACAAGTTCCTTAATTTGTTGTAAACTAAAAATGAAAAATAGATCTAGTCGATCTTAAACGAGTTTAAAAAGTAATTTTATATTTGTGAATGTAACGTTAACGATGTGATAAGATCGTGTTAATGCTTCAATGGAGCGTAAGAAATTATATCAAAATTGTTTGAAATGAAATATGTAACTTTAGTACAACCAATAATTTACTTCAATGATTATTTTACTGCTAAAAGGGACAATATTAACTTGATAATATGAGATATATTACTAAAAGTATCACTTGATTTAGAGTAATTTTTTGGATGGTAAACTAAGTAATTTATTAATACTTGAGATTTATATTGTTTTAAAAACTGACTTATCGGAATAATATTTTACACACATAAGATCTAGTATAACTTACTTACGTAGATTTTGTTGTTCAAAAGTTACGTAAATGTGACTTTCAAACTAGTACGTAAAACCCTGAGTGTTTATCTAATCTAAATGAAAAATGTATATGATTAAATGGCTTTATAGTTTTGTAAATGTATGGAAAGTCCTGTGTCTACAGGCTACAGTAGTGTATGGTTTGAAGGACCGAACTTGTTTGTATGAAGCTGATTATGAGAAAAACTGAAAGCAGATTACAATAAGACTTGTTTGTGTTTTTGCATAATTTGCTTTTACTCTTTGTCTACTTGATTCTGTAAACAAGATCACACGTCTGTATTTTTAGAGCCTTCCAATAAAGTTGCGCCGTGAAATAATTGGACATTGCTCTTGGAGTGACCCATTTACATGTCGCATTTTTAGTTGTGCGCTTAACGTCCTGTCTTTTTCTTCTAAATAAATCTTAATAAATATTCCCTCTCTTTGACCCCACTCAAAACGTCTTTTCTTAACAACACGTAACACTTATTGTCTCACTTTGATTACCCTGAGCGATTTATTTCTCTTCTTATATATGTATAGTACTTTCTGTCTCTCTACTCTTAATGTGTACCAGTTCCTGTCTCTCTTTGACATTATAACACTTCCTCTCTGTGCTTAACTATACTGAGTATTTTCCCTCTCTACCCTTAACGATATGTAGTATTTCCTGTCTCCATTTGATGATATAAAACACTTCCTGCGTATTCGTAACGATACGTACCATTTTCTATCTCTCCTTAATAACAGTATATAATATTTCACAACTTTCCTTGATTACACTGAGTATTTTTTTGTACTTAAGGAAATGTAGCACTTTCTGTTTCTCCTTAACAATATGTAAAATGTAGAAGATAAGGTTTAAACTAAGACAGCTGGGATATCTTGAGGCTGATTCACGTAGGCCACAATTCCTTATAACAGTTAACTAATCTTCAAGGTACCGACAGCTTCTGTGGGATATGAGACGTTTTTGCTTCTCGAACATATCAGATATTCTTAACATGACTATATATATATATATATACTTAACATGGCTATATATATATATATATATATACTAACTATA